TGAACTGTAACATTCCTCTCTCAAACATTTTAGCACAAAATTAACTCCATATAAAACTATTAATAGCTGAACTTGCTGTAACCACTGGAGGCCAAAAATGATTAATGTTAGCTACAATGAATGCAGTGGGGGACAGGGAGGGAAATCGCCAAAACATGCCTGAACAAGTCCGGCCATGCACAGTGTGTTATAGTCAGCTAATGTTTAGTGAACTCATCAAGTTGCGTATGTGAGAGCTTAAATAGTTTCGCTTTATAATGTACAATATTTTTTTGTCTGCTTAAATCTAGTATGTGAATTAGCAGATGCTGAAGTCTAGGCTGTAAAGCAGTTTAGCCTAATTAAAAAAAAAAAACTGACCAACTTTGTACAGTCTGAGGGAAGTTTTTCTTTGAGTTTGGCTAAATTTCTTCTCCGACTAGACTCTAGCATCTGCTTATTCACAGGCAATCTACTATATTTAACTTTATGACACACAATTTTGCTTAATAATTTACAATGCAATGATTTAATGGAACCATTTATTCTAACACATGCACGACTAGCGCTATGACAGTATTCACACAAGTATATATGTTTAAATAAAATTAATAAATAAATTTTAATTCATTGCTTGCTTGATAACGTACCTTATTGTACTTCAAAAAACGGGACTTCACGAAATGATCCACACGGCCATCAAACCAGTCTTGAGTGGGAGTCTGAAAGCTGACTACTGAGCATGCTCACATCGCAGTCTTGTTACTACTTGATTGTTTTAAGTTGTCTGCACTCAAGACCTTAAGTAAATTGTATTTTTCACGCTGCAATTAACGGTAACAACAAAAAAACAAAAACTTGTAAGAAATGCATTTTGTTGATAATCTGAGTAAAGTTAACTAATTTATTTAAGTCATGAGGACTATTACAATTTACAGTGCAGTCTTAAATTGCCCCATCCCAACTTTTGGGAACGTATTGCGGCTATCAGTTTCAGAATAAAACATATTTACAAAAAGCAAAATAAAGTTAAAAGGGTAAAACGTGTTTTTGCTACTTATGTTCAATAAATCATCTCTTTCTATTTCTATATGCATTTTACCTACTGTCCCAACTTGGAATTGGGTTTGTAAAAGGCCAACTGCCTCCTGATGGGGAGTCCAGACATGGGGCATGGAAACGGTGTAACATATGCTGCCAGAGTGCAATCAATACCAAAATGAGAGAGATCAATGTTGAGAATTGGGATTCTCATAGCAGTGGTGCAGCACTTTGTATTGTGGAGTCGGCAGAGATGCAGAGATTGCATACCATGCCCCTAAAGCCTCTTCTTGAAACACAGAGCAGTGGCAAATGCCACAGTATTTTTTTTTTTTAACATGACATGGATATGCTGCTTAGAATAGTTAATGAATAGTTCATTGACATCTTTATCCCTTTGAGTGTAAATATAAACTGGACCCGGTCATCCCACAGCTTTAAACTAGGATTGTCAGTGAGGTCAGTTGTGCAAGTTCCTGGTCAGCTTCCCATGTGATGGATATCAGACTGAACCCAAAGTACTGCGTAGGTACCCTAATGGTGCAAATCTCCAGTGTGCGTTGCAAATTACCAAACTTCAGGAGATGCAGAGCAAATTTCTGTGAAAGCACTGAAGGGAACGTAAATCATCATAACCATTCAGTACGGCAGTACATTTTCCACACATAATGAATTTTAGTTATGATTCCTTCATTATTAGTTGTAAGATATACTGTAGAGTTAAGAGATGAAAAGAACACGACAACACACTAAAAACAAACAGCCTTAACCAAAATGTATTAGAATAATGGACATTATAAAATAAATAAATAAATAATAAATTTAAATAATGTAAATTACTGTAATTGTCATAGTTACATAAATAAATTAAAAATAATTTTAAAAAATAACAATAATAATAATCATCAAGACTTGAAAATTTTGTGTGGCTTAATGTGATAGACAGCATAAATGTTTGCATTTAAATGATTTGGACTTTCGTGCTTTTTACATAACTTTATTTTGATGATTTCAGGCTCAAAGATCCTATCAAACGGGATCTTTGATTTGAGTAGACTTATTACAATTCAGTTTAGACTTCTCACCTTTACTTGATGAATGTTTGGTCAGTGCAACCTTGAGTAAAACTCACATCATTCATATTGCCTCTTAGTACCATGTATTTGCATATTGGGTGTCTCTTCACTGTCTGTGTGTTGTCAGTCTCCCCAGCCTACCTTTCCTTGTGTTGACTAGATTTTATAAACTTTTGTGATTCATATTAATCACTACTGATTAAAAACTGGAAAAAAAAACAGTGTGGAGAAAAATGATTTTTTGTTTTTGTTGTTGAGTGTGATTCTGTTGTGGCTAAATGCTATAGAGACTACATCTGCACTCTGTACTGGCCTGTCAGCATTTGGCATGGTGGTCTGTAGTGAAAAAATCCTAGTTTATACTAACGGTCAATTTGATTTACAATTACTTAATTATATTGAGTTTGTACAGCTTAAACATAAGTCACAAATACTCAATAATTGTATTATCAACAAAACAAATGTAGTTAATACAATGTACTCAATTTACTTAAGTACAAATGAGTTATTGAACTTAAACATCTGAGGTAATCAGTTTCCTCAAATCATTTGAGTTGACTTAACTCATCAGGTTTTATAGTGTGCATTCTAATTGCTCTTGTAGTTCCCTGCAAAGTGTATGCACAGGGCATTCAGACATTTTAACAGCAATTCCAAACCAGAGAGAGTGAAAAAGTTCCATTAGAATGGAACTTCAAACTGCACAGGGAGAATACAGGGGGAACATCTTTAACCAGGGCCTGAGAAAAGTGGTTTCCCCTTGTATATTACAGAATGAATTTAATGTACAACAATGATGCTGATAATCTATTTCTGTGCATGATCATTTCACTCAGTAAATTTTATTCATATTATACCACCTTTACACTGAGAATACAGATGGAACAGCATTATCAGTGTACTAGTTGATTACAGCTATTAAAGATTTAATGCACTATTATATTAATTTGTTTTTATTTTTATTTTACTCCAACAGCGTCTTCCATTAACATTGTTTTATACAGAGGCTAAACGGTAGAACAGATTTACCCAGTGCCCCTAAAAAAAAGTAAGTTCCAGTAAAAACTGGCAATTAGGATCAGTTTAATATACTATAATGTTTTCTTTGCTTTTTTGTTCTCCCAGTAACTACAATGGGTCAAAAAATTTTAAACTGTAGTTAATTAAATGAAAAAAACAAAGATATGTTTTACCATTTTTCTCAAATTGAATGATTACTACATGCAGATGTACTACACTGTAATGTTTCTTGATACAGCTATGTTATCTGTTACTATGTTACCATGTTTAATGGAAGTAAACAACTGGGATTTGATCAGTGTTCCTGGTAAATGGTTTCCTTTCCCTACACTACAATGGGGCAGAAAGGTACTATGATAATCCTATCATTTCCTTATATTACAACAGGTTATAAAAGTACTATAATAAATGTGTTATTGTGTAAAGTTTGTATAATATGAATAAAAGCTACTGAGTGAAATGATCATGCACAGATATAGATTATCAGCATCACCGCTGTGCTTAAATCCACTCCAGCTGTACTATCCAAGGGGAAACCACTCTTCTCAGCCCCTGGTTAAAGATGTTTCCCCTGTATTCTCAGTTCTAAAGATTATAAAATATGAATAAAAGTTACTGAGTGAAATGATCATGCACAGAAATAGATTATTAGCATCATTACTCTACTTTAAATCCACTCCAGTTGTAATATACAAGGAGAAACTTTTCTCAAGCTCTGGTTAAAGATGTTCCCCCTGTATTCTCAGTTCTAAAGATTATATAAGATGAATAAAAGTTAGTGAGTGAAATGATCATGCACAGAAATAGATTATCAGCATCACTGTTGTACATTAAATCCACTCCAGTTGCAATATAGAAGGGGAAACCACTTTTCTCAGGCTCTGATTAAAGATGTTCCCCCTTGTATTCTTAGTGTAAAGGTGGTATAACATGAATAAAAGTTACTGAGTGAAATGATCATGCACAGAAATAGATTATCAGCATCATTGCTGTACATTAAATCCACTCCAGCTGTAATATACAAGGGGAAAACACTTTTCTCAGGCTCTGGTTAAAGATGTTCCCCTTGTATTCTCAGTTCTAAAGATTATAAAATATGAATAAAAGTTACTGTAAAGACAAGTTACATTAGTACCATAACAGTAAGACTTCAGTCTCAAAGACTACAGGGAAACCAACTTCCTAGGTGCACTGAGATACGTAGTCTAACAATAATAACACCGACTAATTACTGTGCTGTGTAACTTAATGCAGTTTATTTATTTCAGCAACAAATGTTTCAAATCTATTTATAGAACTTAGCGAGACTGATGAGGATATGGGACATAAATACACCTTAAAAATCACTTAAGTCTGAACAACAAAATGTGCCTGCATGTACGGTAATTAAATCAGAAATGGCGCAATGAATCTAACTTGTTACTCGGAGTAGTTGAAAACGGAGCCAAAGCTAGCATTAGCAAGATAGCCCACGTAGTGTTTGAGCATTAAAACATCTGCTAACAACACATTTTATACTTTAAAACGTGTTTAACTATAAGTCCTTTTACAAACAACGTGATAAATCGCTTACTGCGAGGAATAGGACGAAATAACGGTACAAAAACAAACGAATTAAGCCTATGTAAACCCCGCAGAGGAGCGTCGACTGAAGACGTCATGATTTCGACATGCGCAATGAGGGGGGAACAGGGGGAACTGAATTTACCGTAACACCGGCATTAGTGACCCTGTGGAATGGAATGCAGTTCTTTTTTTCAACGGTCCTCTCATGCTTAAGCTTTCAACTTTCTGTGGGCAAAAGCTGGGTCCTTCTTTAGCCACACTCCAGTCCAGTAGGTGGCGGAAATATCACCTTTTAGTTGAATGTCAGTCCCCTCAACACAAGGAAGAACACCGTTGACATATGTAGATGTATTTTTCTTCCTTTGCGCTTCGATTTTTTATTAGTTGTGATTGCTTCTTTATCCGCTAGAGAGGACTGAAACAATTTTGTCGAGTTTGTGGATCTGACGGTAAGCTCGTTTTCTCGGGTTATGGTAACATTAAAGAAATCATTGCACTTTTGGTGTAGGTAACTTCGGCCTCAGGAAAAACCATTCAGCATAACCACATGTACTGGATTACCTGTAAATACATCCATGTTTTGCTCATTTAAGTAGTGGGAAGCTTGAGTAACAGGCGAAAATTCTAGCTGCAGAGCCGCAGTACTGCACTTTCAGACCAGCACTCTCAGCTGCGGATGTGGTGTGGCATAGCTAATGGTCGAGAGGCTTAATAGCTAACGTTACCGTATATTGCGTTTTATTACATGGAGAGCACGGAAGGCGGTTTTCAGAAAACCTTAAACAGCGTAACAGGAAACACGGTTACGTTGTGACAACGTTGCTTTGGTGGCTCCAAGGTTGCCACAGCGTTAAAATATAATTAAATATAATAAGTTGTGACAACGTAACATGACAGCATTCTAGGAAGTTGTGACAAGACATCGTTGTCAGTAAATTGTTACAACCATAGATATACATACCTCGATGCCGCGTTGCCTGTTGTTGCTTATCTGAGGCGATACGTCTGTGCGTCCGCCATGTTGGAGCGGTCAAGATCCGCTTGTGATCAAATTCACTTGTATTGAGAGATGATGAGTCTCAGGATTAAATCGGCCACAACTTCCTTATTACTCAACCGATTTTCACCAAATCTGTTTTGTTATAATCCTCAGACATAGATTAATCTAGGTTGCACGGACTGCTCTCGGTAGCTTTTATTTCTTTAATAACCGATCGTGCTAATTAGCCGTCCGGACCAGCAGAAAAGTATTCAGTCTGCACCTGACGTTAAAAACCGAGTTTAGCGCGAGCTCCGATAGAAACACAATCTCACAATCAGCAAATCCATCAATGTGTGAATCGTTTCTCATCTTAATACACATACAAATAAAATAAACCCCCAAAGACAGTAAGAAAGACGAAGCTAAAATTGGCTTCCTATTCGCCAGCTTCTTTCTGGTGCCTGAAACTGCACCATTTAAGGTGGAACGGGAAAATTGGAACAAGAAGCTGGCTGATGCACCATTTAAGCTGGAACGGGAAAATTGGAACAAGATGCTGACTGATGCATCATTTAAGGTGGAACGGGAAAATTGGAACAAGATGCTGGCTGATGCATCATTTAAGGTGGAACGGGAAAACTGGAGCAAGACGCTGGCTGATGCATCATTTAAGGTGGAACGGGAAAATTGGAACAAGACGCTGACTGATGCATCATTTAAGGTGGAACGGGAAAATTGGAACAAGATGCTGGCTGATGCATCATTTAAGGTGGAATGGGAAAATTGGAGCAAGACGCTGGCTGATGCATCATTTAAGGTGGAAATTCGAACAAGAAGCTGGCAATTAAGAAGCTAACTTAAGCTTCGTGTAAGGTGCTAACGTTAAGTTAATCTATTATGAATATCTACACGGATTAAGGAATACTATAACTTGCCTAGCTCAAAGTAATAACCATTATTGTAAATAAATAGATACTACATAAGGTTAAGGTCCCATGAATAGACTATTAAGCTTATTTCATTTAATATGAAATTAGAGGAAAAACAATGACATGAACAGGTTCTTTGTGCCTCACCAACCATCTAGAATCCTGAGTTCCATTATTTCGTGCATGAAATTGCCAACAGGTCGTTATAATACGGTATGGCGAGGTTACTTAATAATGAGGTTGCCTTGTTCAGACAACGTAAACAGCACCACCCTTTGACAACTTTCTAGAAACGTTGTAAGAGAGCAGACAGCGTTCTGAAAATGCGAGATTGTCGTCGCTGTAGAACCAAAAGTCCACGGGGAACGGCTGGATCTGATCCAACTCCTCCTATGTCATGTTTTAATTGGTCTGAACTAAATCAGACTCCACCCCGCCCCGCTATACTTGCCCGTCAGATTAAATTAAAACGTAATCAAGTGCGAATGTGAAAGTAAGCACATAACGCACATTTTCTCTCTCTTATGAAATTCCAGGAATTAGTTGATAAAACATAGTTATGTGGGTTATTTTGACCTGTCATAAGTGCATTCTAGTGTTTAAAAACATTCAGCGTTTTCAACTAGAACTCGTCTATCATAAGTACACTTGAGATGTAGGCCTACAGAACGGACTTTGTACCGGATGTGAAAAAGCTTTTCGAGTTTTGACAAATGAGTGCGAACGTCGTGAATCATGAGCGATTATAAAGGCTGTGTTGTGGCGTTTTTTTTTTTTAAATCGTGCACAAACAAAGTGTAGGTAGTAGACACAGGCCAATATTTACCCTGTGCCGAAGTAGCTAACAGCTCACTGACGGGGTTTGATGTGTTGGATTGATGTGATAATGGACAGATATGGTTATCAGGTCTGACTTTGACTTGGTGTGTCTCTAACACAGTAGCTTTACGCGCGAGCAGAAACGTGGCTAAACGGCCGCACTACGTCTATTATTCGTAGCTCCTCTCTGTGGAGTTAGTTTTGTGCCAAAATGTTTGAGAAAAGATCCTGATGTTTGAGAGAGGAATGTTCCGGTTTGAGAGGACAGCGGTGCTCTGAGCACGCAGCTAATGAACTTGAACGCACTTGTCAGCACGAAGTGCGCAGGTAAACGCCTTCGGATTTGCTCAACAAAACATTTTGGTTTCATTCAAAACTTGAAAATCTGCACAACAGTGCAGAACTCGCACGTGCAAAACACTCCGATTTTCATTCAAAACGGAAAACCTGCTCACTCATGCTCTTCACCTTCAAAACTCCCACGTGCGCGCAAATCATTTCTGCTCTCAGCTCCGCAGCGCGCGCTCAACTTTCATATCTGCTCGCTCTAAAATGTCTGAATGTTTGTGCCAAAACTCCAGCCAATCAGAGCTGCCGAGGGGCGGTTCCTGTCAGCGCACCAATCATGGCATCTTTTCTTAAGCAGCTTTATGCCAATTGGTCAAGGTACGTTCGTGGCTGTGGTATTGAGTCGGCTAGTGTGTTGTAGCCTCGACATTAGCTAGATGGTTTCTAGCTTTCTCGTAGCAAATGAACAGAAACGATTTATCAGTAATACTCTGTCATAAATAATAACGTATTAATATAACTAACATTGGTAGCTCGGCCATTTGTTCCCTACCAGAGGCTTAACGGTAGCTAACTTCAAATAGCTTAACATTAATCGACTAAGCTAACGTTAGCAAGACTTCTTTGACTGTAGCTAACAGTGTCTAAGAGTGTTCTGCTGAACTCTCCTATAGTGCTTCATAGGCTCATCTTGTTAATCCTGTATATCTATCTTCTATAGTGGCGTCATCAAAAAACAATACTGATGCCGTGCAAAAAAAAATAAAAAATCAGGGAGTAATAAAGTTCATCCTATTTTGTTTACTAGACATAATACTGTACTTCTTTTCTAAGGCCCATACATGTTGTTGTTTAGCACCCATCAACAGTAGGTTGGTTTGAAGCCAAACGTCAGTGTGTTTTGATAACCTAAACTTAGTGTCCAGGATATTAACTGCATTAACGCTGTGAAATGCTGACAACAGATAATAAGTCAGTCAATTAAGTCTTTTAACAGTGAGTTTCAGAATCATCCGGTTTTTTATGTTTGCATTTTAGAGTATACTGCTTGTTCAAAGGGAATGGTGGAAATCCAGAGATGGTAGCAAAGAGCTGAGAATGAGAAGAAATATCCCTTACATTTATAGTTTCTGTGCTTGATATTTTTAATCAATGATTTACAGTAACCGATGTGTGAACACCGAACAGAGGAAAAACATGTATGGCCCTTAGAAAACAGTATTATGTCCAGTAAACAAAATAGGATGAACTATATTACTCCCTGTACTCACTGAAAAGTTTTTTTCGTCCATATAAAACTGCACAGCATCCGTATTGTTTTTTTGATGACGCCATTATCCAAGATAAATATACAGAATTGACAAGATGAGCCTATGAAGACAAGCACTGTAGGAGAGTTCAGTAGAACACTGTTAGCTACAGTCAAAGAAATCTTGCTAATGTCAGCTTAGTTGATTAATGTTAAGCTATTTGAAGTTAGCTACCGTTAAGCCTCTGGTAGGGAACAAAATGGCCGAGCTGCTGTTAGTTATATTAGTACGTTATTATTATCTATGACAGAGTATTACTGATAAATCGATTCTATTCATTTGCTACGAGAAAGCTAGAAACCATCTAGCTAATGTCGAGGCTACAACACACTAGCCGACTCAATACCACAGCCACGAACGTACCTTGACCAATTGGCATAAAGCTGCTTAAGAAAAGACGCCATGATTGGTGCGCTGACAGGAACCGCCCCTCGGCAGCTCTGATTGGCTGGAGTTTTGGCACAATCATGAAGAGCATGATTGAGCAGGTTTTCCAGTTTTGAATGAAAATCGGAGTGTTTTGCACGTACGAGTTCTGAGAGGGAAATGCATTGTTGTGCAGATTTTCAAGTTTTGAATAAAACCAAAGTGTTTTGTTGAGCAAATCTGAGGCGTTTACCTGCGCACTTCTTGCTGACAAGTGCGTTCAAGTTCATTAGCTGCGTGCTCAGAGCACCGCTGTCCTCTCAAACCGGAACATTCCTCTCTCAAACTTAAGGATCTTCTCACAAACATTTTGGCACAAAACTAACTCCATACCTCTCCACAGCGAACGGCCCATAGATTCAGCAGTGCAGCTGCAGGTTTGTCATGAAATGAAGGAAGACAATAAACTACAACTACAATCGTCACTATACAGCATGTTCTAATGATTATATTTGACAGAGATATAGACGCAGGCCGCTGTGTTGCTCCACACAGTTACAGGAAGAAATGTTGAGTATCAATGTTTTAACAAACTCAAATTAAACGTGCACACAATCATTCATGTGGCTCACATTAGTAATTTTAGCCAGTTTTCATGGTTTTATTTGCAGTTTCCGTTATATACATTTACATCATACTCTGTTCTTTACAACAAATATAGTTAACGGAACATAATAATGTTCATTTAAACTTTGACATCAAAGTGTCAAATCACCTTTGAAACACACATTTATGTATTAATCTGTCCTTCTTGTCATTTTTTTATAACATTTATATTAAAAAAATAATAGACAATCTATTGAACTCTCTGACTGTTAGACCTCATGTTGTCAAACTTACTTAGAAATATTTTCTCCTATATATTCCAAGACTTATTTGGGAAACACTGAAGTAATTTGTTTAAGAATGATTTAAACTATTAAAGCACTATTAAAGAAAATTAGAGAACGAATTAAGAAATTGTGACCACATTTAAGCACCTACGAAGTACAGAAAATGTGCACACGATTAAAAGAAAAAAAAGGGTGAATTCTTACTCGTGGAAACCAATTAAGGAATCGTGACCATGAAAACGTGCGGATGAACTGCATAACGTTCACATGAATTAACATTTATTTTTTTTCTCTGTCCCCTCTGGGTTTCCATACTTAACGGCAGCCAGCAGCACTGAAATATACTTGAGTACTAAAAGGAACCAAAAATGTGCACCGTTTATTCCTATACTTGTGCAAGCCAAAAGTGTGGCTGCAGTTCCTAAACAGAGACACAGGGAGCTGAAAGTGCGGGTCTGAAAGTGTGGAGGCTTTGAATATGAATTTGCTAATGTCACTACATAAATTAAATGTCATTAGCTTGTTATTAGTTTAGTAGACTGAATTGATGTGATTGTACTAATTATGTCCAAGCCTCTGAGCTTCAGACTTGTTTTATATACTTTCTGTTAGTGATTTGTATGCAATGTTTGTGTTGTAACAGTGCCAGGATGAAGCGAATGGCTGCACTCATCAGACAAGTTTTGTCAGCTCATAGGCTTGATGTCCCAAATACCTCTGCTATTTGTCCTTCCACTACGTGGGCCCGTGCACCTCCATACGCTCACCATGCACGGTACCTGGCTGTTAAACAGGTGAAACTCTATAACTCGTACAAAATGTGGCAGCATAAATCTTAACAAAAACAAAAAAGAGAGATCATATCGCTCCCATTTTAAAAGAACTGCACTGGTTACCTCTATCTTTCAGGATAGATTTTAAAGTTCTGCGACTAGTTTTTTTAATGCTCTGAATGACCAAGCACCTGTTTACATCACAGAATGTCTGTTTGTTTATGTTCCCACACGTGATCTTAAATATATTGTTATGATTTATATTATTCTTCTTTTTATTGTAGTTGCGCATTGCAAAGCAAATTCTTTTTTTATTCTTCTTTTTTATTTTTCTTAACTTGTCCCAAAATTTTTTAGATATCAACACCGTTTTAACTACAGATTGTCCGGTCTGATTGTGTGATGCGTGCTTATATACAGTTTTTTGCTTGGATGCACAGATTCCATGTAGCAATGGAGTGTTGCAGAATTTTTTTCCCATGGGAATGGGGTGAAAAATTGCATGACAACACAAACTCTATTAATACTTTGCCTGAGAGTCACCAAACTACATGTCCTCACTCAGGGCAGGACCTCAATCTCTAATACACAGCTACACTGACCCATACTCCTCTATGGGTTGTTTTTCATCCCTTGTTCCTCCCATAGATTCCCATTCATTTTCACCCTCACCCAAGCCCTATTATTTCCTTTGCCCAAAAGCCAGCAAAATGCATGTACTCACTCAGGGTAGAACCCCAAGCTCTAATCCACAGCCACACTGCCCTGCACTCCTCTGTTTGTCATTTTTTCATCCCTCGTTCATCACATAGACTCCCATTAATTTTCGACAACACATAACTAACACTTCGCAACATGCTACGAACAACTAAATGCACACCCCATACACATAACATTCCTCATATATGGGAATAGTGCAGTTGTGGTTTTTGGACCGATCCGACGTAGATTTTGTAAAATTATCATTCAAAGACAAAATTTTTCCCATTGAAAATGAAGGGCAGAATGTTCAGAACATTCGGTCTAACTGCCACAAGTGATGTTACAATGCACATCTCTCACATAGACACTCATACACAGTACACACAGACCCACATGCTTACAGCCTAATGCACAGCAATATCAGCAGAAATAATGAATTTAAGGTGGCACTGTTTTTATGGTAGCACTGAATTTAAGGTGACACTGCATTTAAGATGGCACTGAATTTAAGGTGGAACTGCATTTAAGGTAGCACTGTATTTATGTTACTAAATTCAAGGTGGAAGTGCATTTAAAGCAGGACTGAATTTAAGGTTGTAGTGAATAGGGGTGGGGGAGAAAAATTGATTTTTAGATGCATCACGATGCGGACGTGGACAATTCTGAATTGATTCACAAATGTCAAAAAGCGATTTTCTACGTTTTAATTGGTAATGTAATGTTGACGCGCAGAAGTGCAGCGCCCGGACAGTCTGTAGCGTGCGCACTACATTAAAAGCTAGTGCAGTGGCCAACAACCAAAATGTTCATAAGTCATTTTGTCTTTTCAACGAAAATCAAACCACCTTGGGAGCCGCAACATTTTAAATCCATTTTACCATCTTGGCTGTACATATGTCGTGCTAATGTCCTAGTGTAGGCTAAAAATATAATACAAACAAAAACGCAGACTTACTTTGCTCTGCTTTAAGATTTAGCTCAGCTGTATCCACTTTTCTTGCATCACTAGCTGGAATAGTTTCTTGTAAAATGTCTCTCAATGTTCTACATTTTATGAGGCTGAAGTCAGTTTCTCGTTCTCCAGCTTCTCGTTTGAATTTTCCCGTTCCACCTTAAATGTTGTATGAGGCACCAGAATGTAACTGCTGCACCATTTAAGGCGGAACAGGAAAATTCAAGCAAGAAGCTGGAAAACAAGAAACTGACTGCATGAAAGGCTGATGAAAGGCTACATTAATTCCAGCATTTAAGATCATTTATTGTGAAAACTGTGATCAGCAGAGCTTATTTTACTGCAAAGGAGGATTATTTTATTTGTATCTAGAAATCTAATTCTGATGTGGAGCCACATGCGGCCAAAAAGAGCCACAGGTTGCTGACCCTTGAGCTAGTGTATGGCAGCACTGCCAACCAGAGGACCATCGATTAAGCGATGTCAGAGCTTCCACCCAACTCGGAAAGGATGAAGCCAATTACAAACTCTATTGCAGCTTTTATTGCCAAGGATTTCTGTCCGTACTCAGTCTTTGAGAACCAGGGCTTTCACGCTATGTTGCGCACTTCGGAGCCGAGATACAGCGTCCCATCTCGAAGATATTTTACTGACACAGCGAACCCCACTCTCTACAATGAGACCAAAACCGAAGTTAGAAGAATCACCCATTGCCACAGGATCTTATTTCACTGTAACTGCGCATTTTATCGCAGATGAGTGGCAGCCTGCGTCTCGTGCTCCAAACAAGAGCAGTGAATGAGAGCCTTCTAGTTGCATATTGCTTCCGTTTGATTTATTAATGAAAGACATTTGAAGTAAATTCATTATGGATCATTACCAATACTGTGCTTCAAAATTTCCAAGTTGTCGCACAGTGAGAAAAAAAGAAATCCTGTATAGAAAAGAAGATGCACCAAGATGCATCGATAATCATTTTATAATCGCATTGCAGCCCTCTGAATCGTAATCGAATTGACTCGTGAGGTGCCTAGAGATTCCCACCCCTTGTAATGAAGTTAACGTATCAGTGAATTTAAGGTGGCATTGCACCTGAGGTGGCACTGAATTTAACGTATCAATTATTTTAAGGTGGCAATGAATTTAAGCTGGCACTGCTTTTAAGGCAGCACTGATTTTACGGTTGAACTGTGTTTAAGGTGGCACTGAATTTAGGGTGGAAGTGTATTTAAAGCAGCACAGAATTTAAGGTGGTAGTGAAGTTAACGTATCGGTGAATTTAAGGTGGCATTGCACTTGAGGTGGCACTGAATTTAACATGTCAATAAATTTAAGGGGGCACTGAATTTGAACTGGCACTGATTTTACGGTGGAACTGCGTTTAAGGTGGCACTGAATTTAAGGTGGCAGTGAATTTAATGTATCAGTAAATTTAAGGTGGCAGTGAATTTAAAGTGACACTGCACTTAGGTGGCACAGCGTCCAAGGTAGCACTGAACTTAAGGTGGCAGGAATTTAAGGTACTGTTCTTCATAATCTTTTTCTTCGTCTTTGTCTTTTTCTTCTTCTTCTTCTTCTTCTTCTCCTTATTATTATTATTATTATTATTAATATTATTATTATTATTATTCTGTGCTCGAAAAATAAGATGTTTCTTGTCCCGCAGTTTTCGAGCTACAACCACACAACTTTGTCTATACCCAATTAGGTGGCTTGTGCTTTTCTAAGCGATCCGACATATGGTTTTCATGAAATAATCGTTCAAAGATGATATTATTTCCTGTAGGAAATGAATGGTGGAATGTTCGGGACATTCAAACTAACTGCCACAAGTGATGTCACAATGAACGTCTCTCATGCAGACACTCATACACAGTACACACAGACTCACATGCTTACATCTTAGTGCACAGCAATAACAGCACAAATAATGAATTTAAGGTGGAACTGCTTCTAAGGTAGAACTGAATTTAAGGTGGCACTGAATTTAAGCTGGAACTTCATTTAAGGGGCACTAAATATAACGTGGAAATACATTTAAGGTAGCACTAAATTTAAAGTGGCACAGAATTTGAGGTGGAACTCCATTTAAGATAGCACTAATTTAAGGTGGCACAGAGTTTAAGCTGTAACTTTATTTAAGGGGCACTAAATATAAGGTGAAACTCCATTTATGTTATCACTGAATTTGAGGTAGCCCTAAATTTAAGATGGAACTCCATTTAAGGTGGCACTGAAGTTCAGGGGAATTGCATTTAAAGTAGCCGTGAGTTTTACATATCAGTGAATTTAAGGTGGAACTCCATATAGGGCAGAACTAAATTTAAAGATGCAATGAATTTAAGATAGGACTGCATTTAAGGTAGCACTAAATTTATGGTGGCACTGAATTTCAAGTGGAATTACATTTAGGATGGCAGTGAATTGAAGGTGGAACTGCATTTAAAGTGGCACTGAATCTAAGGTGGATTTGCATTTGAGACAGCACTGAATTTGAGGTGGCAGTGAATTTAACAAATCAGTAAATTTAAGGTGTCACTCATTTTAAGGTGGAACTCCATTTAAGGTATCACTGAATTTAAGGTAGAACTACATTTAAGGTGGTGCAGAATTTAAGGTAGAACTTCAACTAACATAGCACTAAATTTAAGGTGGCACAGAATTTAAAATGGAATTCCATTTAAGGTAGCACCAAAATTAAGTTGGCAGTGAAATTAAGGTGGAACTCCATTTGAGGTAGTACTGAATTTAAGGTGGAACTACATTTAAGGTGGCACAGAATTTAAAGTGGAACTCTAAGGTGGCACTGAATTTAAGGTAGCACTAAAATTAAGGTGGAACTGAATTTCAGGTAAAATTGTATTTAAGGTAGCAGTGAATTTAAGGTGGAACTGCATTTAAATTGGCACTGAATCTAAGGTGGAACTGCAATTAACATAGCTCTAAAATTAAGGTGGCACAGAAATTAAGGTGGAATTGCATTTAAGGTAGCCCTGAATATAAGGTGGAATTGCATTTAAGGTGGCACTGCATTTAAAGTGGTACAGAATTTAAGGTAGAATTCCCCATCATGCACCTGGTGGACATTTACAAGCAGATAAACACTATTTCTTTCACTCTATAGTGGTACAGATGGGAAGATACGCAGACTGGGCATGTAAAGATCTGGGGCTCAGCCCAGTTCACTGTAGAATACTGATCACCACCCAATATTTTTTGATTAACCTGTGTAAAATGTGCAGTTACTTTTTTAATTTGACATAAACATTTACACATCAACAAAACATGCCATGATTCAGCATTGTTAATTGGGTGTTATGAACTAAACCATTAAAAACAAACAAACAAAATAAGAAACCGCTGTAGT